TTACCATTTGAACTAACATTAGCTTGTAGTGTTTCACCATAATTAAACATTTGAAAAAAATCAAGCGCATTTATCTAAATTTTAATAGGACCAACATTGTGCACACATTCATTTTAGTTAGAAGATCAATAAGTCTTACTCCCTAGTCTTAAAAAAAAAAGGATTAACAAATCATTATTTTAAAGATTATATAAATTAGAAGAAAAGCTAGTCACTACCCCTAACAATTTATGGCTCAAGTATAAAACAAGAGACAAGAAATTCACGGAAAGTTAAAAAGACGCAACACAAAACTAGTCAAAATGGCTGCAAGTGCTATTAAAAGACTGAAGTCTACCTGTCAAATCTATTCTGGGTATTGCAGAAAAACAGAACTTACATAAGGATTTAGAGGAAAGTAACTGAGTATCTGCATTATGTGCTCCATTTAAGTAAGACGGTCGACCTGGGAGCTAGCACAGATACTTTCTTGTGAGCTCAAGTGCGTGATGAGGCTGTCATCACTGGCTGATAAACTGGCAGTCAGCATCTCTACACTGAATACGAAATGACATGAAAGGTGTCGGTATTAGTCCATTAAAGGCCTTGAAAAAGAGAGCATCTAAGTTTTCCTTGGTGCTATAAAGGAAAGGGAGCCAAAAGAGATGCAAAGCAAGAAAATATGATGGACTGAAAAATGATCTTTACAGCTTCTTTGCAGTCTGGTTGAATATAAATGAAGCACAAATGCATTTGTCAAAGCCAAAGAAAAGGACATTGCAGTAATAAAGATGTGGGTTGATGACAGTATGGGTGAAAATATCTGTTAGACAAGACAGAAAAGCCTGTATCTCAGAATCATAAAGAAGAAAAAAATCTGCAAGACAGATAGCTTACCACAACATATTGAATATATTTCTTATCGCTCAGCTATGTCAACAAAATGATAAGTCACTTAAACTGAAAATTTGGACTAAATCTCCAATATCTAACAGTTATACCAGTATCTGTCCAACATTACTATTTAGCTTATGTTCAGTTTGACAGTTGGATCTAGTCCCTGAAGTTCTGTTTCCTTACAAATCCTTCAGATATCTTGAGCACACCACCATTAAACACAACATCCATATCTACTACTAATATTTTAATTCTACATATGCTCAAAATCATGCTTGAATATTTTCTCACTTAACAGCATCAACCATTCACATCCCAAGAATTCAGGAGAATTTTTGGAACTATGGCTGTAGTCAGGATAATGAACAACAGTAAGTCAAAGTCGAAGACATGCTGATTAATAGAAAGGTCCTCATTGCATCTTTAATTATTTAAGCTTAGATAGTAGAAATTAAAAGAATGACACATTTTGCATTCACATTGCAAGTCATACTTTATCACATTAAAAAAAATGTAGTTTTATCTATATTAAACCTACTACTTATTTTTCTTTTTTTTTAATCTGACACTAGAACCAGTGGATTACCAGTGGAACCAGTGAATTAACACATAACATTTATATCATCAACAGAAAGATCATAAGCCAAGAATGACCTGTATGATCCTACAAAACATCACATTACTTACAAAGGAAAAAAGGCCTGCTCATTGCGTTCTGTGTGGCCCTGCTCATCTGATGTATAAAGCTACAGAGGTACCCAAACAAGCTTTCTGTACCTGGATTTGTGCAGCATACTATGTAGGTAAAGCAGACCTTTTCTCTGGAAGTGAGCACCATGAGAGAATAACAAGCTTTAACTATAACTAAAACACTATCCTTCTTTTCAGCAATATTAACCTTTGTATTATACATGAAAAATTTAAAATGTCTATGTGAAAACACATCAGTATAGTTTCACTGCTATCAAAAAGTAACCCTGGGAAATTTCAAAATTGCATGTGGTAATTTTTACCCTCATTGCATAGCATTACACCACACAGCTTACTGCATCATATAGCAAATTTCAAAACAAAATCAAAGATTACTAGAAAGGTTACCAATAACTTTATTGAGCAGGAAAAAATGTTAACTATAAACTCCTAGCAGAACAAAGAAGTTTTACCCTTCCCCCCATTCCAGCTTCCTAAAATCAAATGTTTTCTCTTGGGACACTGCAGTTTGAATTAGTTGTCCTTTGTTTGCCATTGTATTGCATTTTACAGTACTCAGACAAGAACAGTTTATAAGGACACGGACAAGTGGGATGGAATAATCAGTGGAAAGTCAAGAGGTGACAGTTTTCATAAAGCAAAGACATGGGACAATTTCTACAAATAATGCTGTAACCTGCTCTAGATTTACACATAAAGCACCGCCTTTCTCCTCACTTGTCTATTGCTAAAACCTATGCTAACCTGCATATCCCATATTTCAGAGAAGGTCTACTTTGATATCTTCATCTGATATTCATTTGATATCTTTGATATCAAATAGATGGCTGTAAGAACAGTAACTTGCTCAAACAGATTAAAATCTGATTTATTCCTCTACTTCCCCTATCAAAATTTATTTCCTTTCGTATACTACTTAATTATACAAATGTAAACCAAGTAGTTTTCAACTTTATCTCTCCATAGTATTAGCCCAGCCAGCCCCACTTGTTTAATTGCAAAATTTCTTTCTCTGCTACACAAGAATACAGAAAAAATTAATCACAACCCCCCCTCCCCCCAAAAAAAAAAAACCAAACACCAAGAAACACACACACATGCTGTCCTCAACAAGGAACTACTATCATGCACAGCTGAACATTTGGTATTTAAGTCTATTAAGTAATCTGTTCATACAAGGAAGAGTAAACACCACATACTTTTACTCATTGCTTAGGCTGCAACAAGACATACTTAAGAGAATGGAAATAAATATTTTAAGAGCAAAGATTATCTCCTATCATTGTCCAGTTCAGTAACATTACTGATAATATACTTCATCAAATAATAAGAAAAGAGTATTGCAAAACCGAGTCATATAAAAATGCCTTTCAAAACATGGTTAGTGTCTCATCTGGCACATCACCACATCTATATTCTGGGGAAATTATTCTGCCTTAAAATTTCTTAAAATGAGGTTTTTAATTTTACTGAAAGAGGTCAAACAAATGTGCAAAAGCAAAGCATGAATTTTCACAGCTAGTACTAAAGAACCAGACCCTCTGACTGACAACTGGGAGAGACTTGCTTATCTGTGTCATATGCAGAAAAACAAATACAACACACACTAAATACATTTCTCAATAAAGAGAAATGGCTGGATGCATGTTTTGATGATTCTTGATGTAGTCTACAGAACACAAGATTTCAGTACAAAAAGTACTGTGACTACTCAAAAACGTGAATTCAATGCATTCAGAGTACTCCAACAGCACTGAACTTGCCAATTTTCCAATGCAGCTTAAATGCCTATTACAGGAGCTACTACACTGAAGACTAGGCAATGGTCTACAGCTATTATTAAAGCAGAAGAATAATGGATTTTATTCTTGCCTGTGGGAAAGAAGTATCATTTGCAGAATTGATAACACTTTAGTTTAGTCATTTTAAAAGGTCATGTTACACAATAAAGAAGGCCAAGTCTTTTAGTGATAACATACAAGAGTGATAAAACTAGCACCAGTCTACAGTTACTCAAAATTGCTAATTGCATTTCTATGTGGTAACCAAGCTAAAACAGTGTGATAAATGTGTTCCAGTGTGGTCCTGATTTATGCACTTTATAGTCTAGATTACATAACCTGTAAAGAAATTAAACCATACAGAAATACCTTAATTATTGAATAAGTAAACAACTCTGAACATATGCAAGGAGAAAAAAACAAATTTCATAGTACTATGCCTTGGGATTATTTTTTACTTTAAACACAGTTGTAACAGAGTCAGTAGAGAGGGGAAAACTGTTACAAACTTTGGTGCAGGAAATCAACAGGAAAAATTTAATAGGAAGGATTAACAGTGAACAATTTTAGTTGAGAGGCATGGCTGCCTGCATCAAAGTTGTTTTTGACAAAATACCATAAATTGAGAAAATCTGACAGTGTTAGCAGGTAGTATAAATTAAAGTTCTTATGTTGTGCCCCTAGGCATTTTTTTATGGCAAAGATAGGAAGCGACAGTTAAAGTACTCTGAATAAATCGTTTTATGAAGAAAGAGAGAATAGACTGAAGTGATACACAAATTTAGGCAATGGTTCATTTGTACAGGGCAACAGAGTTCAGTCAGCTGGAGAGAAAATAAGCTGGGAACAGCCACTTCCCCAGGCAGGCAATGGTGTGGGCTTTGCAGCATGGTTTGTTTACAGTCAGCCTGTAAACAGGACGTTAACTCCTTTCAGGCATTATGTGTGCATCACAGGGTAAAATTCAATAAAAACATTCCTATGAAAGTGAGCTGTCACCAGTTCATAAACATACCTGAACTTCTACAGGGATATGCACAAGATTCTCCTATTTATCATATTTAAATCCTATTCCAAACAACTCCTTGATATGCTCTTGGCTGGAAAAATGTAAAGCTTTCAAATGTAGGGACTGAAGAAAATACTCTTGCAGTCCTTTTATTTCCCACTGACAAATAGGGTCCTTATTTTAAAAGAGTGCTTGCCTAGCTTTTTTGAAAAAAACATGCATCACCTTGTTGGAGTGTGCTGTTATGTTCTATAGATGAGAAATTAAGTAACTCCAGTGATGCACTTAAGATTAAAAAAATATCCAGTTACTTTTTCAGAAGATCTCTTTGTGAAATAGCAAGGCTTTACTTGTAACAGCATCTCCAGAAATCACCTTCTCAAAGTCTGTCTCAGTTAAACCAGCATTATTTTTTCCAGAGTGGACAAAGAAAATACATCTCCTGCTGCTTATAGTTCATCACTTGAGGTCTAACAATTTTGGAGCAACTCTAGTAAACAGTCAGACACTGTCAGTCTTTCTGTAACTGCTACTGTTTTGTCATAAATTCACCCCCAAGTAATGCTAGAAAGCTAAATTTAATAAATACCACCCTGTGCTTGAAAAATATCCCCTTCACTTACTTGAAAATCTTTCTCTTCCAGGATCTCTTTCCTCCACCTGACAAGGAAGGCAGCACAGACATACAAGTGGAAGTGAGAAAATCCCTCTGGTTCAGACTAGAAAAATAATTTAAAAAAAAATCATTATTTCAATATAGAAATTTTTTATTTATAGAAATTTATTTTATTTTTTATCACCATATGCCCCAAGTGTGTTTTTATGGCATTCACTTATAACTACAAAAGTCAGGTAAGTCTCTTTCTTTGTATTACAAGCATGTTTGCACTACATTTATGCCAAACTATTATCTGTATCAGGAATTTAGGTGAGGTATGCATTTCTCATATTTAACTTCATTCTTTACAGATGTGTTTCTTCCATTTCTGATGTTATCCATTAGCTTATATCTGTCATGAAATACTGTACTACCTAGCTCAACACTGCGGCATGAACATGCTTCATCTCCGTTATTAAGAGTTTGCTCTTCATAGTAGCTTCATTTGATACTAGTAGCTTTTTTATTATAAATGCTGCTATAGGAAATTAGTAAACATTTTAAAAATAAACAACTTGATCCATATTTGACTGAATTAGAGGTTTTTACTAAAGGAAAATAATCTACTCCTAGTATCATAAAACATTTACAACTCAAATTTGTACTCAGATCTGCAGCTTTCTGTTCTAGTTAAAGTCAGCAGATTCAGTCACTTTATAAAACTCCCCTTAGAAATTAAGATTTTATAAGTACACCTAAGAGTTTAGAAAAATTTCTGATTCTTTTACAAGACTTCACTAAGTTTTCTCGTATTACCAAATTAATCTTAGATTTTGTTTTCTATACCACTGAGAATTGAAATAATAATTATATTTAATTATCAATGTGATGACTGTGAACTAATGCTATGTAAAATCTCATTAAAATAACATTTGAAAATAATAATTATAAAATTAAGCTACATAATCTGACAAATGTAGGGATACTTAAATGCTGATATCTAAATTATTTATAAGATCTAATTGCAGCTCTTTAAAAGTACAGCATTTTTTTTTTCATATTCTCTACTGGTCAATTCAAAACCACAGTTTACTATTTAGAAAAATACAGTGTTCTGGTCAAATAAAGTGAATTGAAACCACTTCTTATGTAAAACACTAAAGTATCTATTTTATTGCTACTTAACCTAGAAAAGCATGGCATTTAAAATGTTCCACACAACATGTGTAACTGCAATAAGGTAACCTCACTGCTATCACAAGTGGAGAAGGAAAAACATTCTCCTCCTACCACTTCTCCTTTTCCTCTGCCCTTGACTTGATAGAAGTGCCCAGGGTACTACAAGGGGTTGTTAGCAGCTACAGAAACTACAGATCATCCTGGCCACCAAATCGGTAAGAGTCAAGAAAAGAGATAATGCCAACTATTTGCACGGTAGCTTTAACTGAAAATATGAATTAGTTAATTTTGGAAACAGAAAGGAAGATTCAGATTATAAGATCCTGTGATATTTTTCCTGCTCTAGGAAAACTCTATTTGAATAGCATGACTTGAATAACACTGTAAAATCCCAGCATATGGGACGTTTACCTAGACACCTCTCTAGAGTTGGTCATAATCAGAAAATTCACAGTAAATTCCAATTTACAATATTAAAGTTAAGAGTTTTACAGAATCATGTACTCACTATCAACTTCCTGGAAAATCCACATCTTTTACTTTACTGTTGATATTTCTTTTGGGATGGAAAGTTAACATATATAGAAGCATAAAATGGTATCTCAAGAAGATGTAAGCAAAGTACTGCTATAACTTATCATGTCAGATAATATTGAGACAAGATTTAAATATTTAAACATAACTAAAAATTCTAAGGAAACAACATTCTTGCTACTTTATTCTCTAAATAAATTTAAAGAACAGGCAGAACATTTTAAAATTCAGGCTTCAATAGTCTTTTATAACATTTTCATCTCTAAAATGAGAAAAATATTTAAAAAAATTTTAACTATAGAAACAGTAACTTGTGGTCTTTTAACATGAATTTTACAAATGCCTTTTCAAATTTAATCATACCTTAGAAGTTTCTATTCTTCTGGAATATGTAACATAATCTTAGAAAAGAGACTACCTTTCTTTAAATTTGGAAGGCAAACAGGGTAGCAATGTTCAATGAAAACAGAATGCGTTTAAGACTAAGCCTGTACAAGAAAACATCAATACATTTTCCAGAAGCCCACTCTGAGGTATGTGCTGTCACTGGTGAAGACTTTCTGACAGAGTAAGAACCAGCCCAGTTCACCATTACCTGGGGAACTATCATCTATGATTTACTTCAAAAAACAGGCAACTGAAGAAGGCTGGAGCACCTATCCTGTGAAGTCAGGCTGAGACAGTTGGGGTTGTTCAGCCTGGAGAAGAGAAGGCTCCAGGGAGACCTTCCAGTTCCTGAAGGGGTCCTAAAAGAAAGCTGGGGAGGAACTTTTCACAAGGGCAGGTAGCGATAGAATGAAAGGGGGAAATGGCTTCAAACTGGAAGAGGGGAGATTTAGACTGGATACTAGAAAGAAATTCTTTACTGTGAGGGTGGTGAGACACTGGCACAGGTTGCCCAGGGAAGTTGTCGATGCCCCTTCTCTGGAAGTGTTCAAGGCCAGGCTGGACAGGGCTTTGGGGAACCTGGTCTGCTGGGAGGTATTCCTGCCCATGGCAGGAGGTTGGACTGGATGATCTTTAAGGTCCCTCCTAACTTTAACCATTCTATGATTATATAAGTTCTTGAAAAGTACAGGGGAGAAGTGAGCAGGATTAAAGAAATCTGTCCAAAAGGAGTATTTTAACTTTCAAAGTCAATTTGCAGTAACTGTTGGCAAAATTGTTTATTTTGCTCTCTCTTACGACGACTCACAAAATAATATTACACAGGTAATCAAATTAGATCACAATATTCCTTCTTCTGATAATAACCTAGGATTCTGATTTTAAGCCCAAAAAATTCATTCTATTATCACATAATAAAGACAATTGTTCCATAGCCAGAAAGTCAAGAAAAGTGGCTTAAAAAAAAGTTAAAAGCAAAAAATTCCTAGAACTGCAATATTGGAAATCGAAAATGTTTTTGAGAAATTGCAGAAAAAGATATCTAGAAGCATGTAAGAACCCGTACTTTATCTTGTGATTTTTCTGTTCAAGCTTTTTTTCTCCCAATACAATTTTCTTCAGCTCTTTTAAATGAAACCAAATAGGTTTAAATATGCAATTCATTAGAGAAAAAATGCATATACCCCTATAGATTTAAAAATTCATCATGCTTCAGAGATAAGTCTAGGCTACAAAGTATTTCCAATGGATAGTTTTAGACAGTTTTGGAAATTGAGTAAAACAGCTAATGCATAATTGCCTTTTCTAACACCTGCTACCTATTATACTTTTCCATTTGTAGTTTTTGAAGTTAGAAACAGTTTGATCTCTAAATGTACAGAAATGCAGACTACCAGCTGAAAGCTATTTAAAATCAAATATAAACAATGACCTTGATTTAAATATTTTAGCAAAAGATCTCAAGACAGATGTACAACCTTGCGGAAGACTTATTCCGAACATATTACAGACAACTCAGAGCACATTATCTAAGAGCCATCTGTCATTACCGATAAAAATCATTTAGATTGTTAACAACACAAATATCTCATTGTTCTGCAAACACTGGATATCCTCAGCAGCTGAAATGAAAGGCATCTTTATACTGCACTCCCCAAACATCTCAAATTAGACAATCACTGAAGAACGCAAATTTCATCATATGACTAGACTGATTACTGTCTAGTCAACGATTAGTCTACTCTGCTTCCTATACCCTGGACATGTCAACATTTAGGGAAGGTAACATCTCATGGTAATATATTTGTTGATAGAGTAAATATAAGAAGTTATTATTTTTGAAGTACCCAGAATGATTAAAGCTATGAAGTTGTGCCAGGGTCAGGTATTAAACCACCACATTTCACACTCAAATGATGGCTCAGACACAAGCACTTTATGATTACAGATGAACAAAGCAACTTCACCCAGCTCAGTTTTTACTATATTATTAAGAGGAGACAGTTTAGCTGCAAAGAGTTTTAAATAATTTTTCCAAAAATATCCAAGCATTCTATTGCAGAAAAAGAGAAAGAATACAGTGCAGGTTCATCATGGAAAGTGGATCATATTGGCTGCTGCATCAAGATTCCCCTTTTCCATCAGCCAGGAGCTCCGACTTCCTAGGCAGAGTCTCAATCCACCATCAAAACTAAGACTCAGAGTTCCAACCCGAGAAGCAACACAGCACGAGCACACCCCAGAGGGGTCTATCAGGGTAACTATCCTGCCACCAGGAATGACCAACAGCAGATGACTAAGAGTGTAAGAGTGCAAGCATATAGCGGTATCTCCCCAGAATACTCTTCCAACTTTCAATGCTTTTGTGCTCAGAGATGTCTTTACCCAAGCTGTGGAACATGTCTATTTAACAGTTGTTAATGGATTTGTCTTTACTTATCTGCCCAAAGCATCTCGCAACTACCAGGTTTTCTGGTAATCACAAAGTCCTGTGGCAAAGAATTCTAAAATGCAAGTATGTGCTACGTAGCATGTCTGATTTAAACTAAACACCTTCTAGATTCAGTCAAAGCTGTTTGGTTATCGCATTGAAAGAGAGTATAAAAAAAATCACTTCCTATTCTTCAGTTCTTTCATCTCTCCTTCTCTTTTGCAGACTAGAATTTTTGTCTGTTCCATCATTCCTCATATACTGGTTCCACCATCTTTGCTCAGCCTTCTTAAGCATACTTTCCTTTACTTTTCCAATTTTTAAATAAGGTCTGAACCGTATACAGCATGTGAGATGCAGAAAGAATATAACTCACAGTTGCATAATGATAATTTGCTCTCCTTTCCTTTCCCAGTTATTTGTAGTCTTTGATTCTTTTTCTTTCTTGACTGCTACTGAGCTCTGATTTTCCTCTTGTGGTTGTGTGTAGAAAGCTAACTTGAATCCCATAGGTATACCAGTGAAGTTAGGATTGATCCAAACACACACACACAATATCACTTTATATGTGTCCACGTGGAATTTTACCT